AGAACACACTGATCACACTCAAAGAACATATTAAAGGTATGTTCTTTGTCAAACATTGGTATGTTCTTTATCAAACACTATATGTTCTTTCCGCCTTTTTTTGTTTACCCGGGTGCACTATGAGCATGGTGCACCCGGGTGTATCATCTACTTTTCATATTTTAATGTTGATAAGAATTAACAATGTCAGTAGCTCACAATAAATTAGATATATAAAACTATATAATAAGACAAATCTGGATAAACCTAACCATAATTTTGAATGTCTCTCGTAGGGTGTCTAATGAATTTGATCCTCCAAGACATTCTCCTTGTTTTTGATCTATGTTACATACATCCATATATATGTGAATAAGGTTTCACATATTTTTAATTCAAGTAAAAAAAATGATTAATTGAAAAACGATAATCACCAAGATCATTAGTTTTCTGTCGTTGCCGTTTCTGTATGAGAATAGCCTTTCTCTTAAGTCTTGCAAACTTTGTGAAATATGGCTCCATGTGTAGATCTATCACAAACAAACAAACTTTGTGAAATATGGTTCCATGTGTGAAGTATGTTTTATGTTTAACTAGTTTTCTCTTAAAAGACCAAACAAAATGTGTATCTTTAGAACCTAATAGTTTAGAATGATTGGCAATTTCACATATTCATGAGTTATTCATTTTTTTGTGAAGGTATGAAATAATTAAAATTTCTTTTCTTTTCTTTTTTTTTTTTTTTTTTTTTTTATAAAGAATCAATAACAGTATGTATATAATATCATACTTTATATGGATGCATCCCAATTTGTAAAGTGAATATAAAAATTTTACTATCCAACTTTACAATTTATACCATATAATATTATAGATATTACATGTATTTATAGCGTATTTATTAACTTAAGTGAAATATTTAAATTAAAATCCTCTACTATTTTTAATGTATGAACATTTTCTTACGTATGAAATTTCTATATAGTGGATTGACAACTTACAAAGGGAGTATTAATGGATCTATTACCATTTAGACCGTTTACTTTTATATAAACAATCTAAAAAAAGTTGTTTCACCTTAACTTTCAGATTGATTGTAGGCTTTAATAATTTTAAAAGAGATTTTATAATGTGTCATATTCATTGAAAAGGTAGAGCAAATTCGTGCACCCATACGATATTTTATTTTTGGTTCTAAAAACCCTGTGTATTTCTGTAGCCTAAGTTTAAGTTTTAGCTTTAGCTTTTATAAGATAATCGGTGGCCTTCATATTTTGCGCATGGGTTTGAAGCCTAGGCTTGGTGTAACTTTGTTAGCTTCCTTGTTTTGCTAAAAAACTAAAGCTACTGTTTGTAAGATACTTAACTAATTAATATATCTTTTTTTAAGTCAAAAAAATCATACAATGTTTTATTTTTGTGTAAATCAAGTTTACAATAATATCAGTATACATGAAATAAAATTAGGGTAACTTTTAGCTAATTAGTATAATTTTTTTGAGTAACTTTAAACCTAAATAATACTTACCTCCGTTTTTATTCCTTTTTAGGAATTTTAGTTTTAGTTGACACGTTTCTTTTTGGGTAACTTTTATACCTTGCTTTTTTAGTGTACCCCACTTGCTTTATCATTTTCTCTCATTCTCTCTCGTAAATTAAACGTGTCAACTAAATAGAAACGGAGGAAGTATGATTTTGGTAAATAGGTAATGGGCTAAGTTTTGTAAGGATAATATAAGTAATTAAACTAAGATTTGGCACATAGTAATAATGACAATATCCCTTCAATCTATTATTCAATGTAATAAACAATAACGACACAAAGTCTACTTTAAAAAAATAAAATGAAGTACTCAACTTCAATAATTAAAATATTCTAATAGATTTGCCACATAGCAAATTTAAGCTTCATTACTCGTCTCAATTGTCATCCTTTTCTATCTTAACCATGCTCTTCTTCTTGTCAGTAGATTGCACCGAACTCATTTCATCTTCATTCTCATCAACAATAAAATTGTCAATGGATCTTTTTGTCGGTGATGTCAGAGACAGTAGGGTCTTCATTATCACATGTAATGGAAGTCCAGTCTTACAATGAACAAATAAATAACAAATATCACGTATTAAAACATAAAGTGTAAAGTGTAAAAAATTATTGATTTAATTTTGTTAAATATAACCTTGTTTTTCTCAATGGAAGGTTGAATCGGATTACAATGAGATTCCGCTTCCATATCACGTTCCTACCAAAAAAAAATTAGAGAAAGTTAATCTATTCACAATATAAATGTTAGTTAATCTTATTCTTTATTGTAGAGAATCTATTTTTATGTCTATACTTACATGCACAATACTATTACTCACATCCAAAAAGGTCTTGATCAATTCCTCATCCTCACTAATTTTAAGGACAGTAAATTTATCATAGTTTTTTTCAAGATTATATTTGGAGATTTGGAGCTTGAAAAGAAATTTTCGATCTATTAGCATATCAAGTTTATCTGGAAACGAATCACCTTTACCAGCCTGTAAAGAAAATTGGAAGATTGTAAATAAGGGATGAAATAAGATTATTGTCTACAAAACTGATATTTTAATTAAATTAAAATATTCATGTGAAATATATAAGATCTTATATGATTATGAAAATTATTACTGTATGAGATATTATAAATCTTTTACTAATGCATAAAACTATGATGTCATTACCTTTGTTAGCTTATCTTTCAAATCCATTGCTGATATTTGAATAATTTGAAATATTTTGTGGTCAAACATTAAAAAAGTTGCAAATCCACTTTCATCTTCCACAGACACGGTCACCTTATACCTATTTTGGTTTAATTTAAATAGAGAAAATAAATTATATTATTATAAAATATAGTAGGTTTTAATTTTTCTCAAAATGTTGTTAATAAAGGTGAAAATGTACCTTGGCGATGTAGATTTCACTTGAGAGTCGCATTTTTGGTACCAATATTGACCACCTCCTTCATAATCAACCTTTTGTTACATGTTTTGCACGAGTGATAATACCAATTGGTATTAGTTTCAAAAGCTACTCCCTCCGTCAATTTTTATTTGCAACTTTTGCCATTTTAGGCCGCTAACAATTATGTGCAACTTTCTATTTATTTCCATTTGTGGTAAACAAAAACCCTGAAAATTACTATTTTACCCTTACTTAAAATTTCTGATTTTTTTAATTTTACCCCTTATTAACCTTAATCCCACATTATATACAAAACATCTAAATTAACCAAATCTAATTATTCCCTCTATTTATTTCCCCCAATCCACTCCCATCAGTCACATTCCCAACCACCCACATTTAATTGATGGCGTTTGGGATTATTTCTGTGATCTGGAGTGTTCTTAAGAACCCTAGATCTGGTTCTTCGTCTTTCTCTCTCCTTCGCCTCTGTAATTTTCTCCATTATTCCTCCTCAAATATGAGATTTCGTCCTCACAACTTCCAGAAAACGAGTCCCCCACCACCATGGTAAACCTAGATCCACTTCGCGACGCTTATATTGCCACCGACGACCGCGGCGAGGAAAATTTGAATAAATCCCTGATTACAGGTATCGCTGAAGGATCTCCTTTTCCTCGTTGATTTTATGAATGTGATGAGGCCCAGAAATACTGTTCTTCGACCACATACAAGGCCTTGGGCCAAGTTCTTGAAAGCCTAGATGAGGATGAGCGTCTCAAGACCGGTGAGGGTCAAGGAGATTCACGGGGGAAAAAGCGCTAGATTTTACTGGTGTTTCTGTAGATCCAGCGTGCGACAGTGGTGAGGGGAGTGATGTGCCCAAAACTAAGCCCAGATCTAACACTCCAAGGCCACCCGCCAAGATTAGGGCTAAAAGGAAGGCGGCGTTGGTGGCTATGAGGCGTATGCGGGGGTTTCCTGACAAGGAGGTCATTGTGCTATGTTCTGATGATGAGGCTGAAAAAGGTGACGACGTTGAAGTGGTTGGCCCTCCTCTGAAGAAGCAGTATGCGAGGCGGATGAACCCTAGGGTTCAACCCTCCAAGTGATCCTTGCGTAACAATTCCTAACCCTACCCGTGTTAATTTTTTTAAAAAAAAAGTCCCTTTTTTTTTCAATATGCTGTTAATTAACTTTAGTATTTTAAAAAAAAGTCCCTTTTTTTTTAAAAAAAAAAATTCCCTTTTTTTTTTCAATATATCACTAGATCTGGATGCATGTTGGCTTAGTTGGTTTTGTATGCGTTGATCTGGATTCATGTTGGATGGTTGCTTATTTTTGATTGCCTGCTCTTTTGTCATGTTTGCTGTTCCGGACTTTGTTGGCTAGATAGCCTATTTGTTATTGTCTGGTCAGTTGGATGCTTGGCTATGTCTGTTGTTTTGGACTATGTTACATGTATGCATATGTTGGAGTATATTTTAAGAACTGTTGGATTGTTGGAATATGGCATTTGGTGCATATGGGTGTTTGATTGATGAATGATGAGGCTAATGTGTCTGTACATTTTTTAAAGGTGCCTTGGTCATACCTTCAAGTGTTCTCAATGATCAATTTAGTAGAGAACACATGATAGTCCCTTATGTGGTAGCATGACTTGTATTCAGTCCCCTATGTGTCTGTGTTGTGTACTCTGTCCAAATCCAAATGAGGAAGGGACTCTATTGATCTTCCCAACCCACAAGTGTTTTGCTCCAATGATGTGCTTTATGTTGTTGTTGTTGAGGTAACCTTGTGGGTTGGTGTTTTATTGAAATATGGAAAAAAAAAAAAAAAAAATTCTGATGGATTGAGTGCCCACATAACATCAGACTATTAATTAACCATTTTTATTTCATTGAACATGTGGTTACAAAAGTACTTTACATTAGACTGCCTAACATGTTTGATCACTCTATTCAACAAAATACACCTAACCACCTAATACCAGAATAAAAAACAGAACATTAAAAATGAAATTACCATAACATGTGTAAGTGGTTATGTGAGGCAGTCCATGTGTTTCTCCTTTGCTGTGATGAGTCCCTCAGTCTGCATCTACCTGAATATCTTCTGTTCCTTGTTCAGTCCCTTGATTAACTGGCCTAAACATAGTGTTTAGGTACTCCACTGCCTCCAAAACAATTTCCTTCTGCACTGGTACATGATCTGGCAATTCTCCAAGGTTTTCCAGTTTTTTCTTGTTCATGTGGGGTATTTTGTACTTGTTCCCACCTTCTACCTTCAGGATCTCAATCATGCACTTTTGCAAAGTCAGCTAAATGTACTTGTTGACTTGAGGATTGAATGCCTCATAAGATTCCTGCACTTTTGTAACTAGCTCATCTAGGTTGTTAGGAAAAGACTGATTTTGCAAAGACTGAATTGACCTAAATAACCCTAAGTCAATCACATTCAAATCTGGGGACTGTGGTGGTTGGAAAACAAATTGAATGTTAAATCCATGAGCTGTTGTTGCTGCCATAAACTCTGCATCAGTTGGAACTTGGTGAGGCCTTGCATTGTCCCATTGGAGTACAATATTTTTTGGCAGAAAGTCAGGCCACTTTGAAATAATTGCTGGTATGACATTTGTCACCAACATGTCTTTGATTACCTCTCTGTTTACATTCTGTATTATTTGCCTTTGTTTCCCATGTTCCAGCCTCTCTGTTTTTACTGGATTTCTTTGCTAGTTGTTTGACAGTGAATGGGAACATTCCATATTTCTTATCATGGAGTAGTCCCCCATTTCTGTCATACAATGCCTTCCCAATTAAGCTCATAAACATTGCTTTGAGCTTGAATCTTTTGGACTGTATTGGCCTATATGGATCTTCCTCACTAGGTAGGAGGTAAAACCTCCTCTTGTCAGGGTTCAGATAGAACCATTTCTCATCCATGTGTATGACATGGTTCATATAAACAAATGTGGGGTCCTCATTACCTGTTATTGGGTTTATGTGTGACAAAATCCATTTAAGTCTTGCTACCTTGTGGTCTGATGTCAATGCAGGCTTGTTGCTACTTGTGTATGTTCTTCACCTTCCCCTTTTCTTCAAATTGTGAAGAGTCACATGGGAGATTTTTAATGCTGCTGCATAACTCCTTTCTGTCTGCCTTAAATGCATAGGGACTGATTGTAGGAATTCATCAGAAAATTCCTTTGGCTTTCTGCCTACTCTGCCAAATTTTTTGGTCCTGACATCAATCAAACTGCCCTGTGCCATCTATTTCTTTTTGTCTGCAAAAATTCTTGTGATGGTTGATTTATGCACATTGAAATTAACTGATAAATGCTTTAAGTGACCTCTTGGTAAGTTCTCTTGTTGCATTTTGACCAACATTGAGTCCACAATTTCTCTTCTTTGTTTCATGTTGAGCTGCTTTCTTTGTCTCTGTTGAGTCCCATGGTGAATGGGTTGTTCCATTTCCTGGAAACCAACCTCAGCTTGTGTGTCTTCTGTGTTTTGTTGGCCTTGGTCTTCTCCTTGTGTGCCTTGCATGATATCATCTTCAGAATCGTAGTCATCCATACCTAGATCTTGCATAGTTTCTACATAATCGTAGTACAATTCTGCCAATTCTGCCACTTCTTCTTCTGTCAGAATTTGATCAACATCGAAGTACATAGCTTCAAATGAGTCTGCCATGGTTGTCTGACCTGTTTTGTTTGCTTAGCTTCAGCTGATTGATGTAATTGTGGCTGCTGATTTTTTGGGAACAAGATGAAGGAAGAAGGAGATGCAGCTGCCTATGAAGGTGTTTGGGTCTTAATTGGGTAGTATTAACTTAAGATTAGGGATTTTTTTGGTAAATATTGGGCTAACAAGGTGTAATTAGTAATTTAGAATTACTTTTGGATGAACTATGTTTATGTTTTTGGTGGAAAGTTGAATACAAAACACATTAAATGCTTTTGGAAGGATGAGGCTGTATTTAAATGCCTCTTAAATGTGAAATGCAGGCTGACTTTTAAATTCCTACCAATTTGAATGTGTACTGTTTTTTTTTTAAATTATGGAGGGAAATGAAATTTCCCAAAATTTCTGCCAAAACAAATTTTCGGTCACAATTTGGGGGGAAATCAAATCCTTCCAAAAATTGTACAGTTTTTCCCACTACTTTTGCTAGTGGTGGGCCAAACTTTCTCTCTCCAAACACTTTAATCACTTTCAATTAATCCCACTAATATTTGCCCTTTAACTTTTGCCTCGTGAACCGCAATTTTCCCCAGAGTTGCAAATAAAAATTAACGGAGGGAGTATATTTAAGAACAATTATGTAATAAAATAAATTACTAAAAATATGCATTCTTACTCTAAGTCTTCCAATTCAATAGGCAACTTGTAGTTTGGAGTAGTATCTTTAGATGTGCCTATCATATCACCTACTCCAATAACTTCTCCAATAACATCTTTATTATGTTTAGATGTTAAAAAAAATATATGTATTAGTATACCAAATTAATAATATTCTTACAAAAATTATTAGTCTATTGTAATGATATTTATCTTACCTATGCAAAGCATTTCATTAACTTCTTTTTGAAGAAATTTTTCAAAAGGAACTAAATCAAGTCCATGTAGCGAGAGTCGTGAATCTTCACAATCTTTAAATGAAGTCCTATAAAAAAAAAATCAATCTTATAGGTATGGTTAGTAACTCTAATATTACCAACATTGTCTACCACTCCAAAGTTAGAAATAACATATGTGAAATCCTCTTTCACAAGACTTTCAAATTGCTTTATGAGAGACTTCTTGATATTGGCTTGAATTTTGTCACCCTATAATATAAAATTAATACACATAAGTATGTAGAAGTTGTTGATGCTAAGATAAAATCAATATAAAACTTTACTACATGAATTTACCTTTTCATCAACCAAAACTAACTCAATTGATTTAGTTATGTTTGGCTTGTAGTAATCGGGTTTACGCTAGAGTCTCACAATCTGGACCCTAATTTTCCAACTCTCTTTTAATGGGGTAAAATCTTTTATCATAGTGAATGCCATTGTTAATATAGATATTAAACACAAATACTACGTATTGTAAATTATGTGCATATATATAATGGTATTTAAACATTAATTATGTTAAACGTCATACATGGTAAATTTTTTAATTATATCTTCATAAAATATATACTATACTTACAAGATATATATGTATTCTTAGCTTATTAATAAGAGAAAATGTATTTTCCCTTAAAAGATATTTTAGTGATTTTCTTTATAAGATCAAATATTTATATATTGAGTAGATGTTAGCATGGGTGTTATGCTATGACTCTTTTGGACATACGCATGAGCAATATTCTACCCAACATGACAATATTATTTGATGATCAATTTTGTTAAGAAATTTAAACACAAAACTATATAAGAATATAAGATAAATACTTTGATGTTATGTCCAAAGCGGGCGGATAGTAAATTTATTGTTTTAGTAAAGAAGAATATTCTTTACATATACTTTGCTAAACTATATAGGAAAAATGTAAACTAATAATCCCACCTTTAGTCGGTATTCCATAAACAATCCCACCTTTTGAAATTCCAGAAATAATCCCACCTTTAACATGGATCTTCCATAAACGATCCCTATGACCTATAACCGGTTAAACCGGTCAAACTTTTTTTTATTTTTTTTAAATTCATCTTCTTCCACCTTCCTTGAGTTCCTTCTATGAACTGCCACCAAAATTACCACCAGTCCACCACCTCCTCAACTCCTCACTTCTATGAACGTGTCAAAAAGCTCGGCGCAGAGGCTACTGATACGGCTCAGCAACAGCTCGACCGTGCCGAGACTGCTAAGTCAAGGGTAGCAGAACTTGAACAAAAGCTTAGGGAATCTGAGAAGAGAACTCAGATGGCAACGAAGTAGGCTCGACAGGCTGCATACATCAAGGGCGCTCAACCGGAGGCCCTTGTCAAAGATCACCACCCCCTTGTTCGCGAACATATGATTGCGAACATCAGGATTCCCGATCTTCGTTGGGATGATGGTTGGGAACTTGCTCGAAGGTTGGATTTTCATAGAGACCCCACCTTCGAGTGGGCGCAAGTTGATGAGTGGCGAGAGAGTCGTGGTGAAATTTGTTGGAGGAAGAGTAAGAGAGAGACTGACTATGAGGCTGAGGAAGTTAGCCGAAGAGGCTAATCTAGTCCTTAATGGTGTTACAGGTGGCTGGTAGTTACTAGGGTCGTTAGGTGGCTGGTTTTTTTTTTTTTTTTTTTAATTTTTAAAAAATAGAATAAACCAATCAATAGTCAACACGTGTCTTGTAACCTAATAAAACCGGTTAGCAAAACAATCCAACCGGTCAAGGTTTGTTAGTGGAAGATCCCTATCAAAGGTGGGATTGTTTCCGAAATTTCAAAAGGTGGGATTGTTTGTGGAAGACCGATTAAAGGTGGGATTATTACTTTACAATTTTCCAACTATATAAGAATATAATATGAATAATAGTATTTGATGATCAATCATACCATAATAAACACAATTACGCATAAACTGTCTATTAGTATGACTTTTAATTATTTTAAAAAAAAGAAATAAAAAAAACTAAGACAGGGACACGTGGCAGCCATGTAGCTAGTGTATCCTGTTTTAGTATAGTATATAGATTGTCAACAATCGGGTTTACGCCAGAGTCTCACAATCCGGACCCTAATTTTCCAACTCCCTTTTAGTGGGGTAATATCTCTTATCATAGTGAATGTCATTGTTAATATAGATATTAAACACAAATACTACGTATTGTAAATTATGTGCGTATATATAATGGTATTTAAACATTAATTATGTTAAACGTCATACATGGTAAATTTTGTAATTATACCTTCAGAAAATATATATTATACTTACAAGATATATATGTATTCTTAGCTTATTAGTAAGAGAAAATATATATTCTCTTAAAAGATATTTTAGTGATTTTCTTTATAAGATCAAATATTTATATATTGAGTAGATATGAGCATGGGTACCATGCTATGACTCTTTTGGACATACGCATGAGCAGTATTCTACCCAACATGACAATATTATTTGATGATCAATTTTGTTAAGAAATTTAAACATAAAACTATATAAGAATATAAGATAAATACTTTGGTGTTATGTCCAAAGTGGGCGTATAGTAAACTTATTGTTTTAGTAAAGAAGAATATTCTTTACATATACTTTGCTAAACTATATAAGAATATAATATGAGTAATAGTATTTGTTGATCAATCTTACCATCATAAACACAATTACGCATAAACTGTTTATTAGTATGATTTTTAATTATTTAAAAAAAAATAAAAAAAACTAAGACAAGGTCACGTGGCAGCCATGGAGCTAGTGTACCCTGTTTAAGTATAGTATATAGATTGTTAACAATTATATTGCAATTTTGATTGACAATGCACCTAAATAACTATCCTGAAACTTTAACACAAATATGTTGCTCACAAAGTGAATTTAACTGGTGGCCACATATTTGTATTAAAGTATTCATATTAGGAATAGAGCAAAAAATTTGCTACTAATTCCATGTATTAGCATTAACTTTGCTACTGATTGTAGAGGTATTTGCTATAGGTAATGAAATTTTGATATAAGCAGATTATGTTCATTAGTTGATAAGAAGGAGGTTAGAGGTATTGATTTCTTGACTTGATTTTGGAAACATGTTTAAAGTTTGGTAATGAGAAGGAGATATGTATGTGTTTGTATTTCGTTTAGAGAATTTGTTTTTTGTCTTTGGTAATGTGTAGGTGCATAGGTTAAATATAAAGTGGTGTCTTTATAGTAAGATTATGACTACAATTTTTAATTTGTAAATAAGGAAATTATTTTGTATTTGATGGTGGTATAAGTATGGTGGTATATTTTAATGGTTGTAT